TTAGGGTTTAGGGATTTAGGGCTTATGGTTTAGGGGTCGTTTAGGGTTTAGGGTATAAGCGTTGGGTGGATCGGTGGGACTTTCACGGTTGGACGTCCCTGAACCCTGAAACCCTCACACCCGACCCCCAAGATCCTAAACACGGCGCCTAGGCCACGGTTTAGGGTTTAGGGGTTTAGGGTTCAGGGTTTAGGGTTTAGGGGTTTAGGGTTTAGGGCTCCTTTGAATCTGAGGCGTCGTGCTTCTTGGGCATGACTGGGGCGGCACCCTGGTGTGGAACATGGCGCAGTCACTTGGATTCATCCCCTGGGTTGGCGCCCCAGTTTCAGGGTGTCGGGGGGTGAAGAAGACAATGTCTTAGGGTTTAGGGGTTTAGGGTTCAGGGTTAGGGTTTAGGGTTAGGGTGTAGGGCTTGTGACTGGGGATTGAAGCAGACGGAATTGTTGGCCATAGATAATTACTATTACTACGCAAGACATTTTCCTGCGAGGACTAGAGCCTTTGCTTTGGACGGTCTGTTCTTGCTGAGCATCTACTTTTCGAGACCATTTTCGGTTTTCGAGTTCTTTATTCCTCCTCCCTACGTCAACTTTATTGCGCAGTCTTCTCTGTCCGTCGACCCTATAGTCAGCCCTTAAACTATACGCTTGCTCCCCTTTTTGGCAGCACCTGCGAGGCAATTTCCCGACCGCATTCGTGCGGTGGCATCGGTTTGCACGCCCTTCTTTCCGAACAATCCGGCCAAGAACCCTTGGTGCGGTCTCCGGGGTTTAGGGTTTAGGGTTTAGGACGGGGGGGCGGTTTCGGGATTTGGGACTCAGTTGTTGGGTTTCGGGGCTCTCTCGGAGTGAAGCTACAAAGGTTTGAGATTGGACAAATGTGCGTCACGCGACCGGGTTCATGTCTCTGCATTTCACCCCACCATGACTGAACTTCGGGGAAATGCCTGAGATAGTTCGTCCGACTACATGGGTAGTTGTCAAAATTATGGTCCCTTTTGGGGTACCCTAAATAATAGGTGCCGTATTATAATAAGAGCCCAAAAGGGACCATAATTTTGACAACCACCCACATGTATTAGCGGCCGTGATCCGAACACCTGAGCGGAGGTCTCCGTCCTTGTCACAGGGGTCCCTGCACCAATATACATAGTCTTCGTTTCGGGGGCTTCGGGACACTGTGAGTCGTCGCCCTGAAGTTTGGCAAGCAAGCTCACAAGCAACTCGCAAGCTAAACCAACCTCAAATCATAAACCCTAAACCCCCTTCAACTGCACCCGGAAGGGAGATGCTGCGAAAGAACCCGGGCCGATTTGACTACCAGGCGTGTTGCGTTTGGACAGGGGGTGGTCTGAGAACTACGGCTTAGAGTTGAGGCTTTGGGGTTTTTCTATGGATGAAGGGTCTAGTGTTCAGTATTCTCAGGATATGGTTTTCAGGTTCAGGATTGATTTTATTGCTGCTGCTTCTGCTGCGGCTGCTGCTGCTCCTATTCGTACTCCTACTCCTGCTCTTACTCCTACTCCTACTGGTATGCCTGCTCCTACTCCTGCTCTTACTCCTATTCCGACTCCGACTCCAACTACGACGATGGCTACTACTATGACGACGGCTACTACTACGATGACGACAGCAGCGACGACATGCGCCGCTCTCATCTCCTCGATCTTAAAGGCCACTTTCATTGTCATCGTCTTTTTGTGTGGGAGACCATTTGTTTCCACTGTGCTCCACGTTGTGCTTGGCTTCACGCCGTCTTGATGCGTCACTTCGTCGCAGTCAACACTTCAGGGGAATGGAGAGGACTGGAACAATGAGCAATGGATCCCATGACAGTCCCTTCAGGGATGTACTTCTATCCGTTGATGTCCCAAAACCGCTGCTCAAGCTACTGTGTCCTGGCACGTCACAGAGTTTCAGACTCTAAACCCTAAACCCTCAAACCCTAAACCCTAAACCCTAAACCCTAAACCCTAAAACCTACACCCCAGGTTCAGGATGTCGGTTTTGTGGAGGAGCGTATTTCCTCTCTCAAGCTACCGCTGGGACAGGTGTGGTTCCAGTCCGCAGAAGCTGAGGCGCGTGGTTGTTTCTTGGAGCTCGCCTACTGTAGAGGCCTAAACCATTGCCTCTACTATTTTGGGGGCTCCTAATTATATTTACACAACAAAGGGCCCCAAAACCCTATTCTAATTATTCAGGCCCCTATATTACCCCTTCACACAGAAGGTACATGTGTAAATCCTGGCTCGGTCGCAGCCCGCATGTTGCAAGGCTGACAATCCAACTAAGAGCCATGAAACAGACAAGGCTCCCAGTGACGACCCCCCGTCCTGCATGTGTAAATACAGTAACTACGTAGGTTTATTGCTTGCATGCTATGTTACCCTAAGGGTCCATGTACTCATATAGTATATACATTGGCCCCAAAGTACCTAATTAGAAAGGGACTACTGTAAGGCCAAAGTATCTTCTATTTGGGTACTTCTCTAAATTAGGATCCCCTTGTCCGCAATATAGTACGGCACCCTTATAAGAAGGACCCCAAAAGGGACCCTAATTTAGAGAGCTGCCTATTTGGGTACCATGGACCCTTAGGGTTTATATGCATCGTGTACACTGAACCCTAAACCCTAAACCAGTGTACATATTAACAGGACCTGGACATACTACCACTACAGAGCCGGGCCCCAGACCTTTCGGTTTCTCACGGTTTAGGGTTTAGGGGTTTAGGGGTTTAGGGTTTAGGGGTTTAGGGGTTTAGGGGTTTAGGGGTTTGTGGTTTAGGGTTTAGGGGTTTAGGGGTTTGGGGTTTTGGGTTTAGGGTTC